GGGGGAGAGTTAGGTGGCTTATGATAATACTTTTTAGACCTCTGAAGTCTGAAAATGTTGTTCTTCAGATGTCACCTATGTTTGGGTTGAGTCTGAAAATTTAAATCTGAAATACATTTTAGATCTAAATTTGTAAGAGGTAGGCCAAAATTTCCCATTTTTTATTTCCCTCACCCTCTCCCCTTGTATTCCCACCACCGCCGCTACAACTCTAAGTAGTGGCATTTCCACCTCACTCTCTCTCTCTCTTCCTGTATTCTCGCCACCGCCGCTACAAAGAGTTGTAGTGTTTTCAATAAAACACACATGAGTAGGGGTGTGAATTCATATTTTGTTGGATTTGGATATCCCCATTTTGGATCGGATAATAGGATCTTATTAGAAATTGGATCAAATTCAAGGAATTGAATTCGATTCACTCCTATCCATTTCGATATAACACACACACACACACACACACACACACACACACACACACACATATATATATATATATATTATTTATATTGCATTTTTGTAAATTTGTTATATTATTTACTTTTTATAAAAACATGTATATATATGATGAAAATAGTTGAATTTAAATTTACTTTTGTTTTTCTCTATTTAAATTTAAATTATATTTTTATTTTAATAATTTATTAAATTAAAAAATTAAATTGAATCAGATTAGATCTGAATATCCGACTTCCTCATCAGATTTGAATTCAAATCAATGTTTATGAGATTTGATTGGATCTTTGCATCAGATTGGATCTATTGTTTATAGTATCGGATCAAATTCGGATATTACCCTAGTTCGAGTCCAATTCGATCCGTTTGCATCCCTACTCACAAGCTCTTTCATAAATCATAAATATTGAAATAAATGCTAAACAAATTCCTAACTTAAAATGGCTTAAAGTGCTAGGGACAAAGTAAGTAACTGCCCAATTAAGCATGTCTAAGTTGATGAAATTCTTAATCGTACGTTTTTAAATTTGGAATGTTTCGAGTTATTTGATGTTCTCTCCCGATTCCAATAGTTATCAAATGCCACCTTGAATTAATATCTAGAATGACCCCTGCATGCCTGGGTGTATTGATATAAATTTTAGATTTTGAAATATGAGGAAGATTTGATTATAATAAATATATTTACTAATATTAATATTGATTGCACATTAATATTGGAAAATATGATACTGGAATAGCTTTGACCAATCAAAGGACCCATGAATTTTAATGAATACCCATGATTGGTCATTTTTTTCTTATACCCCAGTTAATTGGCAATCACTTTTTTATGATATCTTGTCTTTGTTAAAAAGTATAGGAAATTAATGTACTATGCAAATTTGCGGCAAAAGTAAAAAAAGAAGAAAAAAAAAAAAATGTGTATGGGTCGGATGGAAATGGATAATCGGGTTCGGGTTCTGGAAAAGGATCCAAGTTCCAAGGGACCACAATCTACAGTACATTCCCAAACCAGCTACGGCCAACCGTTCTTTAGATCATGGAATGATGGAATTGATGAATCATGAATCATGATAGGGGTTCTGCTTCTGGTCCTGGATGAGATCCCAAAGTGATTGTGTGGTACATCCGATTAATTGATGGTACGTACCACATGTGTATACGCAGTTTAGATCCGATATCGTAAAGTGTGGGACCTGTCCGGGGATTTCGAAATTCGAACCGTTTACGATACTATCCGTACCGTTAATATTAACCAATCACAACACGCCACGCCACCTCTGTACATATGGGCCTCACATGTCAAGCTTTTCTGCCCATTGGCCCAGCATTCTCCTTTTCTCCAGAGGATTATGATTTATAATTTCCGAAGTGTCGGTCTGCCCATTGGCCGAGTCATTCAGTCAACTGGTTTTTCAGATACCAAACCTCTCCGGTATCATTTCAAATTGCGACCAAATAATTCCAAAAGATTTAATTCCTAACAAATTCATAACCAATCAAAAGGGATTTATTTTTCCTAAATTCACATCACTCGTAACCCGTGTGATGCACGGGTTTTTGTTAAGCCAGCGGGAGGAGCATTGTGATAAAACCCAATTGGGTCAAGCCTTGAGTCCAATTCAAATGAGATGGGCCGAATTTTGTATTAATTATTAAATTAAAATAAAATTAATTGTAAAATGAGGAGAGAGAAAATAAACAGGAGAGAGAATGACTTACATATATGATATATCTAAATTGCAAAATAAAAAAATTAAACAAAGTGATCAAATAAGTT